ATGAGTAATTCCATAATAAAGTTACTAGTTAAAACAAACGAACAAAAAAAACCTCCAGAAACCATAAAAGATTGATTCATTTGACTGCTTTTAAAACAGACAAAAACCTTTATGCATAGAAAATAATGTCATAGGCAAGTCAAAAGACAAATAACAAATTGGGGTAAAATATCTGCTCACTAGAGATCCTAAATTTTTAAAGAGAAGGATGGGCAAAGGATTTGAATGAGTAATAGTTCACAGACACTCACCATAACCATACTGAAGGTTAAATGACATTTTATGTAAAGCACCATAGTAAAGCTCTTGATGGTAGCCTGAATTAAACCAATACAGTAGTTCCAATTAAGTTATGTGAGACAGAGAGAAGTGAAGAGATTTTAGTGATATGGAGGTAAAGTCAACATTGATATGATTTATAGTGACACGAGAAATAAAGGATAAAGCTGTGTTGTGTTTGGCCTAGGGAAACTGAGGCAAAGACGCAGGTTTAGAAGAAAAGTTGGGTTTTTAAAGCATTTCAAAGTCACAAGAAAAAGAGTAATTGAATATCTGGGTGTAAAAAAACTACACTAACCACGTCTCCAAGAATGAAGAGCTAGAGCCATTTAGCCAGCGATCTCATTTCCCATTTCAACATAAAGGAAATACAGTGGGGCCTTGACTTACGAGTTTAATTAGAGTTCATTAAGGAGCTCGTTAACTCAAATTACTCTATCAACTCAATGCAAAAAATCGGCGAGAGACAGCTGGTATCTCAAAAAACTCGTTAGTCGGGACACTCGTAAGTCAAGGCCCCACTGTATATCCAAAAGGTCTTTGCTGCTTTATGATAGTCTTTCGATGCTGATCAGTGGAATAAGAACAGACTATTCACTCATACTCCACCGCTTGGCGAACTGACGGTTTCATATTTTCTACAAAAAAAAAGAGCCTAACACGTGTCGGTGAGAAATGACAGATGACCTCTGTCTTCTAGGAGCTCACACGTGCTCTAATCCCTCTGGGAGAAAGGGGGAGCTTCCCGGCGCACCCTCGCCCCGCTCCGGCCCCGCACCTCCGTCTTCCACCAGCCCGCCCGCCCCGCACCATCGCTCCACGTCCGAGCTTCCCGCGCGCTCCACGCCCCCCGCGACCTAGCGTCCGGGACGCGCGAGGGGGCGGAACCCGCTGGGACCCCGGCGCTCGGGGCAGCAAAACACGGGCGTCACCTGTCGTCGGAATCCATGACGTCGGAGTCCGTGTCCGGTTTCCTGCCCAGGGCCGGGTTGGGGGGTTTGGAGAAAAGATTCTCGAAATCCATCCTCCCGTCCAGAGTCCCGCAGCGACCGAGTGACGACCAAGAGCGGGAGCGGAGAGAGGAGAAGAAGGAGGGGCTCCCGGGGCCCCGCAGGCCGCCTACGCATGCGCCGCCCGCCCCCTCTGCGCACGCGCTCCTTGCCCCAGTGCGCAGGCGTGCTCTTACCTAGCTCCGCGTAGGCACCGCCTTAAATCTATGCTTCTTTTTGCACCTGGCGACCCGTTATCTCAAATATTTGCTATAGTGTTTAGGCTCGGTCCTTAGGGTTCTTCTATGAATCGAAACCCCAGTGTTTCTAAAAAGAAACATTGATTTAATGCTCGTTTAGTATCAGGCATGTGTCACATTCAGCCCACTTAATGCTCACTGGAACCCAGGACGCGTCCATACTACAGGTGCTAGTCCACATTTTCTAGATGAGGAAACAAGTGTGGGCAGTTCACGTGCCTTGTAGAGTGCTGTCATCCAATGGGATTAACACAACTTTCAGGCAGGAAGTTCATTTAAAAGTACCAAGAACTAAGAGGATTCAGAAGAGAAGACAACCTGTGGTTGGAAAGGCTTCTTGAAAGGAGCATATTTGAGCTCGGTATTGATGTAACGTCCACAGGAAAAGATAAAGCTAGGAGTATAAATGGACTCTGGAAAAAAAGCAGTTTTCCAGTCCCTTTTATGCATTAGAATCAAAGGAGCGATTATAAGAAAGGTGCATGAAATCCATTGGTGGTAGAGTAGGGCGGTGAGGGAAAGCCCTGACCTTTCAAAGGTGGGTCACCCTCCTAGATGCATGAGAATAGGCTGAGCTCATTCCAGGCCAAGAGTGGCCAGAGTGGCGTTGCTAAGGAAGCTACCAGGCCTGGAACTTGACACCTGCCATGGCCTGCCCAGTTAGCAAGTTGTGATCAGGCCACCCTGGGTGGTTACTCTTGGTCACCCAGCCCGCCAGGACTGCAGTGGCCCCCGAGCTGGCCTGGCCTGCTTGTGGACCTTTTTTGTTACCACTAAGCAATGGCAAAAGAAGTCAGATATTTGGGAGGGTCAAGTCCCTAAGTCCATCATTTTAATAAAAAGCAAGGACGTTTCCTCTAGAACTAAGCCACGCTATTTTCCTCAAAACGTGATTCTGAGCACTAAACGTTATAAAAAGAGAGCTCGCTACAACCTTGAAGGAGGAAGCAAATTTCTCCATCACGTAAGCAACAAAGATTTTATTTTTAAAATATATACATTAAAAATAACTCCCAATATATATTTAAAAAACACACCCCACGAGTGGTCTTTATTACACAGCCCCCACCGAAGGACTGCTTCCGAAGCCACTGGTTAGGGCCCCTCCCCAACGCCCCCCAACCCCCCGGTTGGCGGCGTCCAGCGGCGCTACTGAGCCCCGAGCCGCACTGGAAACTCGAGCAGAGGCCGCCTCCAGGCCCTGAGCCGCCTCCGCCGCCGGGCAAGGGCTGAAGCCCCGCCCCTGCAGGTGACTGACGGCCGCGTCCTGCAATGGCCGACGCGCGATGGGCGGGGCGAGGCGGGCGCGCGGAGGGATATTGCGCCTCGAGTCCCGGGCTGGTGAGCGACGCCATCTTGTCGAACGCCGCCCCGGGGCCGCCATGTCGGTGAGGAGCAGTCACCGCCACGGCCACTGTCCAAACCCCTGCGTCGCGGCGCGCTCGCCCGCCCGCTCCCGAGCCTCGGCCGCCGGCGGCGAGTAGAGACTAGCGTGGCGGCGCCGGCCGCGGCCGCGCCCGTGTTTGCAGAGAGCCCATCTCTCTGGCGTGGTTGTTAACAGACTGGAAAGTCTGTGTCTGTGTCGCTCACTAGTAACCGTGAGTTTTTACCGCCTCGTTACGGCGGGCGGCGGGGGTCCCGCGCCCCGCAGACCGGCCCGCAGCCCCGCCCCGCTCCTGACCAAACATGACAGACTGTGAACACGCAGGGCGCGGCAGGTCGGAACCTTGTCTGTCTGTGTGTCGAGGAGAGGGCTGGGGCGGGGGCGGGCGGGCCCTGCATGACCGAGGCACCTCCGGGCCGCCGCGCTGGACGGCGCCCCCGCGAGCCGGCGGGTGGCCGCGGGGAGCC